TACAACCGAACATCATACCCAACCAAGAATGAGGAACTCGTGCTGCGCAACTGGATAACCTACATTCGGGGATTGTGAAGCATTGTTTCCATGATATTACTTGGGTTTATTTGACTTAGTTTCTTCTTAATACATCCTTAGCATCCTTACTCAATCCCCTCCCTCCTCTGCCCGCCATATAAGTATTTCCATTGGAACTAGTTTTTTTTTCAGGGAATGTGTCACATCGTCCATAGAAGAACTTCGTTCAAATGTTGGAACACTAGAAAATACCGTCAGCATGTTACGTGACTATTTCGAGTATGAAACAGCGAAAATCGACGAGATTCGAGTGAATTTGAATTCGACGCTTAAGGTAGAAAGAACTTGATTTACTCAACGTTTTATATCTAATTATCTCTCTACAGGTCGATGTGATTGAAACAAAGAACATTGCGGTGTCGATAGATGACGCGCTTCTTTTTGTACAAGGTCTTTATAAATCACTGACTGACACTCAAAAGTCAGGTTTTGCTGAAATGAAGCTGATGGATCGGTTTGAGCTGCTTGTCAATCTCATGTCTGTTGCCGATTTGAAAAAGGTACTAATTTTTTGCCATACCATTACATTCAAAAAGCTGGTCTTCTATATATTCAGATCAACACATGGATTACATCGATAATTACAAATGCCAAAGTTGGCATTCTGCCAGACACTGTGGATGACCTTGTCTACATTATGGAGATTCTTACTTTCGTAGTCAGCAGCTGGAGCCGAAATACTTCACAAGCTTTGCAATCGTTCTCGCTTCTCTATCATGCAATTCTGTCTATGAGTATGCAGCTTTTCGAGAAGGTAAGTCAGATCAGTAGGCAGCTATGTGAACAGAAACTCCCATTTCTCTATAATTTTAGTACTTCCTTGAGTTTCTTCTGTTTCAGGGCTATGTGAATCCGATACCGAAGGCAGAAAAGCAAGAATCTGGCCAAGGAGAGTCCACCGAAACTGGCGAAGGTACAGTTTTTTCTTTTTTAGTTCAGTCAAAAAATTTTCTGCAGGTGGAGGCATGGGTGAAGGAGAGGCTAAAGGAGATGCGAAGGATGTCACAGATGAAATGGAAGAGAGCGGACAGATTGAAGGGCTCCAAGACGAGGAGCAAGAACCTCCGACTGGCGACGCTGGTCAGAATGAAAAACCAATTGAGATGGATGAGGTTAGTTTATGCTAAAGTTCAGATACATCATTGACGCAGGCCGCAAAAAAACTGCAGCACGTTTATGCGGATGCGTCGGTTTTGAAGTTTAGTTTTCGACATTACTCGTCTTTTTTTAGGATTTTGCTGAAGATCTGCAAGACATTGATCGTAATGAGAAAGGAGATGATGCTAACTCTGGCGAAGAAAGTGAAGAAGAGGCGGAACCTGAGGATAAAATGGGTGAAGTAAGTCATCAGAATGGTTTGAATGACTTAAATCATTTGAAACAATCAGGTTGACAATGCCGAAGACCAGCAGCTCGATCCGAAACTCTGGGATGAGGAAGAAAAGGACAAAGAGAATAAGGATTTGGACCAAGACAGTGCAGGTAACTGAAAGAATGCTAGGATAATCTCTGAAACGTGAGGCAAAATTTCAGCCGCTGAAAATAAAACCAACGAGTTAGCGGCGAAGGACGATAGTGAAGTCGTAGCAGATGAGGGAAAAACTGAGGAAGGCATTGATGAAGGCAACGATGACAATGAAACTCCTGAAAACGATGTTGAGAACGTCGACGAACGCGATGTAGAGAAAGACGCTGAGGATATGGATGTTGGAGAAGACAGTCAGAAGTCAGTTTACTCCAGCACTGCTGGATTGTGTCTTTTGGTGGTTAATTCCAGGATTGAATCTAAAGCAAGATTTTTTCAGAGTAGAAGAGAGCAAAGAGGAAGCATCAGATGAGGTGGCCCCCATAGAGGAAGAGCCTGTTGAGGGAGACTTGACTGACGAAGAAGACGCTGAGAAAAACTCTACTGAAGATGGGAATCCTGAAGAAGAGGTATCTACCAGAAGAATCTT